GATCACCTAAAGCGCGGGAAAACAGGCAAATCACCTAAAGCGCGGGAAAACAGGCACATCACCTAAAGCACGGGAAAACAGGCACATTACCTAAAGCGCGGGAAAACAGGCACATCACCTAAAGTGCAGGAAAATGCAGGCGACCAAGTCGTAATCACACAGCGCTTAAACACTTCGCATGCGCAATGAGTCTACAAACGGACCTCCGAAATTCTGTGTATCGTAAAGTAAGGAAGGAAAGGTTAAGTTTCCCGGCAGTTATTCCAATACGTAGGACACGCGAGAGAAGGATTTTGGAGAAAGGTTAAATCTTGCTCTTGTTTTATTGTGAGGTATCCCAACTGTTTTAAACGCGAACGCGGTGATGAAAGCAAATGATAGACACTTCGTGGTCTACCGTCCATGATAAACATAGAACTGTGTAATCACAAATATATTGTGTAGTTCTTTCAGTTGAAAACTGTTCTTTGAGGGATGACGCTCATTACGAAGAGAAGCCTATTTTTAATTATTCTGTTATTAACGTGCTCACGCCGGATATCTTGCCCCAGCTTGTGTAGTCTTGGCGGGACGGTACACAGAGTTTACAATTTTGCGATTGTTTTTCGGTTAGTCCGTGACCGTTGTTTAGAGAGTTTTATTGCTCACCTCGATGAGACGTGCGACAGTCTTGTGGCGTGGCAGTTAAGACAGAGTGGACGCTAGTTAAGTAATGGAGAATTCAATATTTAGATTTCATTGATTTCTGTTATCACATCACAGGTCAGCGTAATGGTTTTGGCTGAAATCAGGAAAGGGGAGCGAGATTCTGGGACCAAAATTCTGGCGGTAATCTGCATAAGAATTCAAAAAGGCGGATGACAACGCGCTGAAAGGGTCTTCAAATACCAGATATCTATCGCACCTGCCATTTACATCAGGGTAAAACTAATATATTAAAAGAAAAAACCAATTGATAAACCCCTCAATAGATTATATAACTCTTTATCGTCCGTGATGATTGCTTTTACGACCGAGTTCAAGATGCGAGTGCCTAAAAATTTGACCCTGGCCTTTTTCCATGTTAACATCAGCCATTTGTAATTGTTCTGTGGATCACCAATGTACCTTCGGTCCCATACCATCGTTCCTTGTTCACTGTTCAATTTTCGTCTTTGTGAATGGTAACACTTCCTCATTTATCGTAAACTGATTATGGAAATTGGAGTTTGAATCACTGGCAAACTGTACCGACCGGTCTTGTCAGCGGATCAAATGCTGAAAGAATTCGACAGTTTTTTTTTAATGTGGATGCAACAGACAAGACAAAATCTGCCACAACAAATTTTCCTATAGATTTTTTCGAGACAATTTTAGATAGAACTTTGTCAGTTGTAGGGATGCAAAATAACTGTGTCTATATCACACGCTCCTTTCCGGTCAGTTGCAATCACGATACTCTATCAGTTGAAAGGACATTCAATTATTTGTAAAAATTACTTTTTCTGTTCTGAGCACGTATTCGGTCGGTTCACGGTAAAAATGATCGTAACCCTACAGCAAACCCGACGTTTGGTTGGTTGAAAAGATTACTCTCCTTCGCCGCACTTACACGGTCGTTTGTAAACTTAATACTCTGTCAGTTGTATACATTTATATGGTCGGTTGTAAAGATTACTATCTTATGTAAGTATCTCTCACTCGTTCGCTTCGCTCACTCGTGTGCGATACTTTCAGCAGGAGAAGAGAAAATTCGTATCCCCAGGCGGCCATGTAATGTTTTGTTTATTTTTATAGATACTCAGGAAATTTCCACATACAACACAACTTTTTTTATTCTTTTCGAAACAGTAAA